GTATTCAAGATGCTAGAACAAGTTTTTACTAAAACTAATACCTTTTTGTAGATAGTTCTTTCACAATTCATACACTGTTGATGTAGTGTTACAATTGTATCCTGATCTGTTACTTTGTAAAAGTAATGGACACCTTTACTCATTAATCTGGTGTACTATGTTGTTTATAATTCTATCATTACTCTCATTATTATTATTGGGCAATATAATTGACCTGCATGACTTTGGTCATATGTATTTTCCAGCATTGAGGACCTACATTTATAAGCCTGTTTCTATTATGTATTCAAGCTTTAAGAGCAATTTTTACATAACAACTAATTCTTTGTTTTATAATCCAGGTACTATTTATGTAATGTTATAATTGTATCCTGATGTTATTTCATAACAATGATGGACACTTTTATTCACAAGCCTACTCATTATGCAGGTACTTGTTTCACATCACATTCTACTTCAATAGTTTATTCATCCACAATCACACTTCACTTTGACTTTTCTAAAGACTTTTTCATTTCATTAATCTTCCGTGCCGGCTTCCCCTGCGATCATGGGTTAACCGGCTTCTGTATTTGACTCCGCCCCCTCGTTCGTGATTGGTCTGAACATTGACCCATCCTAGAGGAGGGCGGGCTATTTAAATGACAGCCGGCGTCCAGCTCGGTTCCCCTGGAAGAGCCTCTGTGGCGAAACGCGCGTCGGCATTAGTTAGCGAGCGGGTGGTTGGAGATTGACTGGGGACTATGCTGCAGCTAGTTTAGATCATTTAGGATGCTCCGAGCAGACCACCCTCTCTTCACTTTTATCTTTAGACTTTAACCTCTGTGTATCTTCTATTGATGCTTTACTTTGTTGTATTTAGGCAGGTGATTCGAGCCTGTGAGTACTGGGAGTTAGGAGACAGTACTAGTAATACTAGGGTTTGCACAGTTAGATAGACTTAAGACCTTTTTTTCATTATAGATACTATTGGATGTTTCCACGATATATTAGGCAACCCCTTTCTTTTTCTGTAAATTACCTATTTACTCTGCAAGTTCTATTCTCCACTCTCTCCGTTTTTTATTTAATTATTATTTGTGTGTTACTTATTACCTATCATTTAGGCATTGATTTTTTAGAAGGAATTTATTAAAAGTTAATTTTTAAATTACTTTCCTTTGGGTTGCACTGCAATTACAGGGAATCTTTGGGACTGATTTACCTTAACCCTATGGTTTCTCTGTTTTTGTTTATTCTCTCTTTTTCTCTTTATTTGTCTAAGTGTTCAGGATAGCGGATTATCCCATTAATTGAAAATTATATCCAGCTGCTGAAAACTAAACAAAAATATCAGATTTTTTCTGTTTAAAAGAAATTCATTAGCTAGACCGCCATAATAGTGGTAGTTTATATAAAACCCTTTCTGTTAGTATCAGCATCCCAGTTGTAACTACTGCCTCAGGTGTCAGCCATGTTTGTATCTAATTAGTATACATTTTTCTTAAAGGACCACTATAGTGCCAGGAAAACATACTCGTTTTCCTGGCACTATAGTGCCCTGAGGGTGCCCCCACCCTCAGGGACCCCCTCCCGCCCGGCTCTGGAAGGGGAAAGGGGTAAAAACTTACCTTTTTCCAGCGCTGGGCGGAGAGCTCTCCTCCTCCTCTCCGCCTCCGTTACGCCCCGCCGGCTGAATGCGCACGCGCGGCAAGAGCTGCGCGCGCATTCAGCCGGTCTCATAGGAAAGCATTTACAATGCTTTCCTATGGACGCTGGCGTGCTCTCACCGTGAAAATCACAGTGAGAAGCACGCAAGCGCCTCTAGTGGCTGTCAATGAGACAGCCACTAGAGGATTAGGGGGAAGGCTTAACCCATTCATAATTATAGCAGTTTCTCTGAAACTGCTATAATTATGACAAAATGGGTTAACCCTAGAAGGACCTGGCACCCAGACCACTAAGCTGAAGTGGTCTGGGTGCCTAGAGTGGTCCTTTAATACCTAAATAGTGGCATTTTTTAAAGTTATAGTCAGTACTCCAGTTGCAACATTCATTCAGCTTGGAAGTTACTACAATTTACTGCAATTTACTGACTCAGGTACTAGTTTCTTTTTTATTCATTTTAGGATATGTATTCTGATTTCACTGCAATATAAGGCTTGTTTTATTATTTCCATTCATTAGCTAACTCTTTCTTTCTCAAATTTAGAATTATTTGAGAACATTTAATCGATATAAAAGTAGTCCTATCAACTTTTTGTGAAGATGTTTTCAAGTCTACCCCTCCCCTTTTCTCATAATAAATCTGAGCTAATTATTTTTTAACTAAGTATGAAAGGTTCATTCTAATTAAATTTTTTAAATTTATAGAGCAATACACTATTCAATCCAAAAAAAAAATGATTGCGCTACTTTAGCAATTTACAATAAGGTTGAATATATTGTGAATATATCCAGCTTTGTTTAACTAAATCTGTACTGCTCATTAGCTATCTATTTTTACACACCAACACATTTTTTTTTTACTAATGCACCTTTGTGTTTGTTTCTTTTTTACACAGTTTGTGTTATTCATTATTATTATTAATTTAATTTTTTGGCCATTAATAATTAGATATTGTTTTATTTTACATTACCTTTTTGAATGTTTGTACTTAAGGGTAATTTGGTTCTTTCTTTGGACTTTAGCCCTTTAGGACTTCTCTCCATTTGTTTTCTAAGTGTATTCTAGTTGGGTTATGCCCTAATTACCCTGCAACCATTACAAACACTAGTGCAACATTCTTGCTGACTGTCACCAAGGTTTGTTTTATTTAATATTCTTGACTCAATCTATGTATCTGGACCATATGGCAAGACATACTCAAGGTACTATGCTCCTCTTTGTATCTGTATTGTTTTTGTATATGTGCATGTATGCCTACTTTGCTTAACTAAAAACAAATGGTTGATTGCACACAAAAATGTTATAAACAATCAATTTGTTTATAAACTATAACATTTAATAAATAACATAAAATCAAAATACATAACACCTAAGCAGGACTTCCTCTCACCAAAGTGATTTTGAGGAAGAAGTTTTTAATTTTTACTGTTTTTTTTAAATGTTTAATTTTTTATTAGATATTTGATTTCATTACAATAAAGACAGGACCTGTGCCCTGAGAGAAATAATTTGAATCTTGACCACATTAAAACTTTTGGCATATACACCTTAGCCTGGTTCAGTGTCAGGGATATCAACTACAGACTGAGTGCATGTGCACAGGCTCCGCAAACACTAAATGCTTCTTCCAAACCATCCTATACCAGCATTAAAAATGTCCAAAACCACGTCTGTTAGGTATTCCTAATTGCAATACCATACTAAAGTTCAACAAAACAAGAAAATGGACCTGTTAATTTTAATGTGCACCTTATTAATAGCTCGGTGTGACTGAGAATTACGCCAAACAGGGGACTATGTCAGACCAAACCAAAACTAAACCAAGCAATATAAGCAACAGGTTCAAACAATCTCTCTTCAGAGATGGGAGCACATGGGGGCGACCAAGGTCATTCTTGGACAGGTGGTTAACTAAAATGGGAGAGCTGCAGCCAAAACTCAACTCTGAAAGTCATTAATCCCTCCCAAGACATACCCCGAATACCTAACCACCAAACATGACCTAAGAGGAAAACCCAAGCTGACCTATAGCCATTCTCCTGGCGGTCCAGTGGAAATACTTATGCTTCATGTTACAAGCCAGGCTTTATCGAGAACCTAAAAAAAAAAAGCAAAACAAACAAAACAAATAGCATAGTATATGTTAAACAGACGCAAACACATACCCACAGCCCATGCACCCACTACTCAACATAAGCAGAACACAAGAAAGAAAGAGTTTGCTGTGCACCAGCCCAAATCCCTATGCATATTTAACTAAATGGAGGTTATTCAGTAACTCAAATGGCCATTAGATGTAAGCCCACCTGCTACATTAAGGCACATGTGACAAGTGGGTCCTACACTAACAATGCACATTAATTGCTTCAGCTTCAGGCAAAGAAACCTCAGAGACAGAGAGGGGTATTTTTCTATACCACTACATACTTGATGTGGCAGGTGGCCTTACATGTAGTGGCCATTGGACTTAGTAAATAACCTCCATTTATTTAAATATGCATAGGAATTTGGGCAAGTGCTCAGGTAACTATTTTTCTTTGGTTTTTATTGTATGCATTAGGACTGATGTGTGCTATGGTTGCTGTTGCTGCCCAGGAGTAGTGGGAGTTTGAGCACAGAACTTATTTTTGTGTATTTATAATTAGAACACAAGTAATGATATAAAGGAGTTTCCCAAAACAAGCACACCATGATAAGGCCTGTACCACCTCAATATACCTTTTGTGTTTTGAGATTTTAAATTGTTTAGATTCTTAATATTATTTTCTTATTTTTATTACATAGTGAACATAAGAAAAATACCCATGCAACCGCATAAGTCAGACCAGAAATGCTGGCGAACATAGGACAGAAAAAAAAAAAATCAAATGAAAGCCCGAAGGTCATCCAACTTATCCAGCGGCAACCTGCATAACTGCTAACCTGAATCTATTTCAATCCCAAGAAACTTAATCACAGACATAGAGCTCTCTGTTTTCTCTGGAAAGATAGGTATCCCAAAATTGTACTCCATAGACCTGAAAACAGTCTCTCTAAGGTAAAACATACAGTGAAATCACGAGGGCCAACACGTAAAGAAAAGAAATTGTCCAAATAATTGGTTACAGAGACAACGGATTCCTTCCTGTTCAACATTCCAAAAAAGTACTGAAAGTTTCAAATAAGAACAAGATATTGAATATCCCAGAGGCAGGCAGACTTGTGCACAAAAAATTTACAATTAGGATGGAAGCCCAAGAGATGCCAACAATACGGTTAAACAGGAAACAAGTGAAAAGAAGAATCCACATCAGTCTTGGCCATCGGGGCACCCATACTGGCCCTCTTTACCAAATCAATGGCACAATTGAAAGAAGTATAACTAACCGCACAAATCCCATCATTCACTGATCCACCTCTAGTATGCGACAAATGATGAATAAGATGGAATTTATCTGCTCCTATCCAAGAACAATCCCAGCGGAGACACCTAAAAAACAGGTTGCCCTGCCAAACTCAATTTCTTTCTCAACCTTCTGAGAAGCCACCTCAGGATAATCTCGTAAAGAACGGATTAGTTTTTGCAACAAAAACATTCCTGGAAGTAAAAGGAATATGGAACCCAAGCAAAATCCATCCTGCCTCAAGGGCTACACTTGACCAGTTAGGATACTGCCCCAGCCAAGCTAGCACATCTTTTCTATGATCACTGGCATCATTCCCCTTCCCCTTAGGTTGTTTCCTCTACCCCACCAGAAACAATGGGACAAGGGTTGAGTACCCCACACTTGGAGCATTCATGCCGAAACTGGCACATAGCACCCCATCTGCACTGACCTTCAAAACTCCAAAACACTACCAACTAGTGGGTAGACATCGAAGTGGCTGGGTTAACTAAAAGGGCTCAGACCTTGATGCCAGGGCATTAGCCATACTCGTGGTCATATAATCCTTATGATTCCAAAACAACGTTGGACATACAGATCATCTCTGACTAAATTGTTTGTCATAATGAAGCCAGGATTTGCTGTCATACATCCGATAAGACTCCCAGATAGAGTCATGGTAACAGAACAATGTTCCAGAGCCATTTCTCCAATAAAACTAGCCATAATACAAAATGCCTGTAGCCAGTTCTAAGGATAAGACGGTAATGACGCCTGTTCCTATTACGGAGCTCTTTCCCCTTAATCCACATATCAATGTTAAAACGTTCTAACGGCAAGAGGGTAAAAATATCCACATAATCCCCTTTTCCACACTTTTTCCTGCGCCTTCGGTTTCACATGAGCACCCAAGAACCCTCAAAACAAACACATGTTTTGCTCTGCTCCAAATTAGAGATAGTGTAAGTCTGGTAAATTGCGGGTGGAACAGTAGCATAAAGAACCATAGCCAAATCAGGAGACGCCAAAACTCAGGAAGGATAGCACTAAGTTTAGGGACAGAAACCTTTGATTGACTTTCCCACTGGGCCAAAACACCCTTCAAATCTGCTATAAAAACCCTTTATTAGAAAAATCCCTGTTAAGCTAAATGTGTTAACAGAGGGAAGAACAGGAAAATGCAAGGAGTGTGAATTAGTTCATCTGAAGGCTTTGCAGACATCTTTGACTGCCGATCTGTAGTGACAGGTAGCTGCATGTCCGAACATCAGAACACATACTGGGAACAGTCTCGGCAGTCCACTTGCACCGTCTGGAGTGGGAATCGGGAGCTGAACTGGAGGCAACAGGAACACCAGATTACCTTGAAGAAGAAGTCCCAGGTATAAGTTCCTCAGCGGAAGACAATCCTTCATCCACTGGAGCAGTGTCCTCATCTGCTATTCCAGAGCCTATAGAGGAAACAGAAGAGTGCAGCAGGCAGAGGCACAGGGGCAGACTACAGAGGAGACATCTTGTGCCAAAGATCTCTCTGGGTTGTGAATTCTAGATATCTTCTATTCCATTTTAAACCTGATAAATCAAGATAATAGTGCTTTTTTCCCTTTTTCATTTAATTTCTACATAAGTGCTTTAGAGTGTATCGGAGTGCTGGTCAGTTGCGTGGGAAGCTGGGTTGTGGGCGCTGTTTGTGAAGGGATTCTAAACGTTTAAGCTTTGTAATGGTGTCAGTGACATGTTTAATGCATTGCTCGGAACAGTGAGACTTTCAAATTAATAGGTTTGCATCAAATGACCAGTTTTATGAGTAGCCTATAGTGTGATTGTGGAGGAAACTGACGATTCATTAGTTGTAAAATTGAAAATTGTATTTTTGGACATGGAATTTACCAGTGTCTTGTGTAATAAAAACATATTAAGTTTCCAACTTCAAGGGTTAGTCAGCTTAGGAATTGTTAGTGTCAGGGAGAGAGCCATATAATTGGACCAGGATATGGACCCCTTTTAAGAATTAATGAATAAGTGAGCCATGGTGTTGTGCTTGGAAAATAAGGACATGATCTATCCATGAGTAGGAATAATAAGGAAGAGAAAAAGAAAAAAAAAAGGTCAAATCTAACGTAGAGGGATGTTGTTCTCCAAAATATGCAAGTAATCTCCGGTGATCAAATGGGCACTGGAAAGTGAAGATGAGCAGAGATCATCTGTCAACATAATGAGCCTGGAAGGGTAGGTGCATAGAGGAAGCAAAAGGTAAAACTAGCAGTCCCAATTTTCCCAGTCAATGAAAGAAACTATTTCTAGGAGTCCACATATGTTGTAAAGTCTGTCAGTGGGCAGTGCCAAATAAATATTGTTTATAGTGTCTATATAATAAAGGGAAATGGTATGTTGCAGTAAAGTGGATTTCCTGTACTAACAATATGTTGGCTTAAAGCCTATGTGCCTAGGGGAGGAGGCCATTTCTTTTGGTGGAGTTATTGAGGCCCTCGGCATTGATGGAGCCCTGTGTGAGATATGTCATCAGTCGCTAATTATTTAAACATGCACTGCAAAAATAGGAGCCAACGCATTTAGACTTCTTTTTCAGGAAGTATATACAGTATCTCACAAAAGTGAGTACAGCCCTCACATTTTTGTAAATATTTTATTTTATCTTTTCATGTGACAACACTGAAGAAATGACACTCAGCTACAATGTAAAGTAGTAAGTGTACAGCCTGTATAACAGTGTAAAATTGCTGACTCCTCAAAATAACTCAACATGCAGCCATTGAGGTCTAAACCGTTGGCAACAAAAGTGAGTACACCCCTAAGTGGAAATGTTCAATTTGAGCCCAATTAGCCATTGTCCCTCCCCGGTGGCATGTTAGTGTTACAAGGTCACAGGTGTGTTAAATGTGGTGTTATCACACTCTCTCATACTGGTCACTGGAAAGCCAACATGACACCGCATGGCAAATAAGTGCACGTGCTCAGCGCCATATCCAGAGGTTGTCTTTAGGAAATAGACGTATGATTGCAGCCAGCAGAGGTTGAAAGGGTGGAGGGTCAGTCTGTCAGTGCTCAGACCATACATCGCACACTGCATCAAATTGGTCTGCATGGCTCTCGTCCCAGAAGGAAGTCTCTTCTGAAGATGATGCACAAGAAAGCCCGCAAACCAAAACTTTATTAAGCTAAAGTTGTTTTGGTGCTGTGGCAGAAATGCCTCTGCCACGTGTTCTTGGAGCGGCCTGCTTGCCAGCCTCCTGCCAAAAGACTATGGGCCCTTCAATAATTTATGTGATTTATGTACTTTTGTACAACAGAAAGAGAGACCAACCATTAGCCCTAATTCCATGGAACTGTTTTGGGCATAGGACCATATGCACGTTCAGTCAAAATGATGACCCGAACCCTGATCTGGGTGATTTTTGGATATGTTGGTCACCCAGATCGGGGCTATCAGGAGACATGACTTTTGTGGGGATTCCATGTGTTTCGGGGGTACTTTTGGGTTATTGTAAGAAATGTTTTCTGTGCCTGGAGATAACAGAGTTTAGTACAGTTCCTGACTCAATTATCTCTCAGGCACAGGGAAGGGATGATCCTGTTTTGTGTGGGAGTGCCCTGGACCTGAGAGCCAATGTGATTACAGTGTGTACTTTGTCACAGTCCCCTCTCAGGTCCAGTGGGGAATGCCCCTGGAATATATTATGGAAAACCCCTTGCATTGGGACTTGCATATAAGGCCAGTTGAGGCTGCCATTAAACAGGTCAACTTCACCCTCACAGAGCCTCATCTTGTGATTGTATGGAACAGCTATATCACTATCTCTTGTAAGAGCTATCCTGCTATACTCTCTGGAGTAGGAGAGGTCTACCCACTGGAAGCTGGATCCCTGACTTGGGTCCAGGGTGGGTGGAAGACAGCAAGACTCCAGCCAAACTGCAGCGGCTAAGGATCTACAGTGCTGATGGTGTCCTGTGGAGTGCTTGGAAGTACTCGTGAGCACTAGGAAGCATCAATTGGCGGAAGCACCCAATCGGGGTGCCAGTCGGTCCATCACATGTGCTTAAAGGGAAATTATACTGCCAGGAAAACAAAAATGTTTTCCTGGACTATAGCTCTCTATAGTGCCCCCCTCCATGCAGAAGGGGTTAAAAGAAAAAAACTCTGTCTCTTACCTGATTCCAGCATCGATGTCCCTTGGCACAGGTTTAGGCTCCAACTCCGCTCCTCCCCCACCAATGTCAGCTGGCGGGGGAGACCTAATGTGCATGTATGGTGATGGCGCTCCCATTAGTACTTCCCCCATAGGAAAGCACATATGCTTTCCTATGGGGTTTTACGTTACGCTGGATGACCAGGACGTTTCTCTAGTGTCTGTCTGTTAGACAGCCACTAGAGGTGGAGTTAATTCTTAAAAGGTAATTATTGCAGTTTACTAAAACTTAAGAGTCCTGGGACACTGTACCTAGACCACTTCAAAGAGCTAAAGTGGTCTGGGTGCCTATAGTGTCCCTTTAAAGTGTTTCTTTAAGGAGTTGACAATTAGCAGACAATGCATAGAAATTTATCCCAATGTGTCTTATATTGCAGGTTTGCTAAATACTGCATGTGCAATGAAGTGCTGCAAAGACAAAGTCCATTCAACACATTTAAAATCATAGAGATAAGCTTCACTTTAATTAGCCTGGCAATAAATATATTGACACACCTACATTACAGAAATAGATTACTAGTTCCCATCATACAATGACGCAAACTATTACTACTGTGGGGATGGGCTTAGTTGTAGAGGTTCACCTTTTTTGCAGACAATAATTCCATTCAAATTACTAAAATTATAACTGGATTAATTTCAATACAACTGCTAAGAGTAAATTCCTACAAGAATTGAGACCAGAGAGGAGTTTGTTGAAATCATAACACTAGGAAATATATCTAGAAATTTTGTATTTTACCGAAGCCACAACCTAGAGGTAAGTTTGAATTGGTGGATTTCATAGTGAATCAAGTGTGATGAGTGTTGTTTTAGTATAGACAGAAATAACTGAGAGTAAAAGAAGAATTAGAGCGTAGCAAACAGAACATGCAGATAAATGGGAAGCTGGATGTTTGACAGAAAGGACTAACCCCCAACATCTTATACATGACCTTGTAAAAAGTGAGCATGTATTTATATATAGCACTGCATTTATGAGAAGGCGCGTCAGTTTACTTACTATTTTTATTTAGCACAGCACTTTTTCTTTGGTTGCACAATGGGTATTTAGTCACTTAAAAACGATGGGGGATTTTTACAGACTCCTATTCTAGCAAGTTAGTGGACGTACTGTGGGATATCCTGTGGCTGAACTTGGGGATTTGAAAGGAAAGGCAGTGTTTTTACACAGGTGTAAAGGCTGGCAGTAAGAAGCTATCTTTCATGCTATCTTTCATTATAGCCAGTGATCATGCTATCTTTCATTAAAGCCAGTGATCTGGCAATTGATATCTCCAATCAGTAGCAATACATTTCTTTTGCTTGATATTTTTCATCATAGCCAGTGACCTGACAACTAATATTTTTCTAATAATCAGCAATAAGTCTCTTTCGCCATTATTTTTCATTATAGCCAGTGAACTGCTAATTGACACTCTGTCTTTAGCTGTTACAAAGTGTTATTTGCAACCTATCCTGTGTAACTTGTCTTTGTAGCATCTCCTAAATTCTACACTATTAAATGGCCAACCATAACTGAGATTATATATATATATATATATATACGAGCTAGGTGTTTGTTTATAGGGTTTTCTGTTACTTTTGTTTTTCATTTACTGCTGTATCCTGTGTGGATTTACAAATAAAGTGCTTGAGTATATGCAACTACAAGGACTGTGCATGTTTTTGCCCTAGAGGACCGTGCTACCTGCTGACAAGGATCACAATACACACACACACACACACCCCTCTTTATGACGCTTTTTTAATGGGTCTATGTTATGTATGTCTTTTTCTCGATATACCTAATAAAATTTATCTAATTGTTGTATCTTTCAAATAATAGTTATATATTTTACAAGGAACCTTCCCTGTGTCTATTGGATTAGTATCATCTGGACACTTACATACTTCTCTTTGTTGTTAAATTAAGGGTTACCCCCTCACTGGTTGAGGGACACTCTGTTACCCCCTCACTGGTTGAGGGACCAATAGTCCCGTTGAGGGACACTCTGTTTTTTCTTATTTTAGATATATCCCTAATGAAATATGCATAATTTAATAACTGCATGTTAAATACGTACAAAGTTTTTTTTAGGCAGTAGAGTGTCCCTTTAAGGTTCTTATTGTTATTAGGGCAAGCAGCCTAAGGGGTGTGCGAGCTGGCAACAGGGGCACCAGGTGGCCACACAGCTCGCAACACTAGGCTTAGGGATAATGCAGCCCCTTATGTCACATTTTTATCTAATACATTGTTGGATCAGCAACATATTTAATAAGAATGTTTCCCGGGTGGTTCGGTGGAGTACTGCTTTGCCTGTACCTGCCACTGGTACAGATTACCATAACCTCTCCCTCATGGTTCTGGCACACACTTATTGATTCAGAGTGCTGGCTGACTCAGTGTTATGCGCCGGACCACCAGGGAATGAACAGCAAGCACTAAACCACCAGGGCAGGTGTTGAACACAGACACGATGCGGCCCCTCTTAGCTCATGTTGAGGGGGAAGGCCTCCTCTTTTCAGACACCCGATGGTAGGCAGTTACAGTGTGCACCACAGGAGAAAGAGGGTAAGTGTTTCTATGTGTGTCTTTGTATGTATCTGTACTTGTGTCTGTGTGTCAATCTATGTGATTCAGTGTATGTGTGTTAATCTGTATGGCAATGTGCACCTGTATGTGTGTGTATTTGTGAAAACACACCTACATGCACTCACCAATATTACACACAAACACACCACAGACATCAACACTGTACACAAAAGCTGTTCTGCATTTAAACACCAACACTACACCCAAACATCAACACTACATAAAATTACATTCAAATACTAACACTACAAACTTCTTTGCATTTAAATGCCAACACTGCACAAAAACACACCCCCTACACAAACATTCAAACAAATATACTCCATAGAAAAACACACCTGTATTCACAGACACTGTGTCAGGGTGACGGTCCGGTGCCCGGGACCCAGACACTGTCCGGGCGGCGGTGCGAGGACCGGGACCCAATATGCCTGATGTTCAAAGTAGGAGTCACAGTGTGGAGGTGGATTAGCAGGGCCTGGTGCAGGGTAACTGCACGCCCCCTGGCGTTGAGCACCAGCGTTTGTGCAGCCACATGCCAGAACCCTGATTCAGCTTATGCGGATCCCAGGAACTAGGAGCAGGTAATTAAGCAGACCTCCCAGAAGCTGAATAGGGAGGCTCTGCAGCAGGGATGTATCCAGTACTGAAGCAAGGCAAGACTAGAGATAGGCACCATGCATGAAAACAAGACAAAACCAGAAGAACAAAGCAAGACTAGAAATAGGCACCATACATGAAAACAAGACAAAGCTAGGAGAACCCAGAACCAGAGCAGGACAGAAAGCAGAACCTAGAACATGTACACAATACATAAGGGAACATTAACTAAACAAGGGCAGGACAGGACAGGACTGTACATAGACTGGGATTACAAGACAAAATAAAACAAGACAAGACCTAGCTAAGCACTATATAAGAAAAGTATGGGCATTTAGTCACATTATATGATCATACATTCCATAAGCCTGCCACAACGCCAATGTACCCCATATTCGGCAGGTACTACACTGCCTAATGTTGAAACACTGCTGCAGGTCCAGGCTGAAACAAAAAGGAAAGTGGAAAACAAACGGGTGTGGCAACCAGTGGTGTATCCTGGTTTTGTGCTGCCCTAGGCAGGACAAAACTCAAGCACCCCCCCCGCGCCACCCCCACCCGCGCAACCGCCACCCAACCTTCCCCCCTGCTCCGCCTTCTAAATACACACACACACATTCACTGACAGATACGCATTCACTTGCTAACAGAAACACACACTCACTAACAGACACACACACTCACAGGCAAACACACACACTAACAGACATCCACACTAACAGACATCCACACTAACAGACATCCACACTAACAGACATCCACACTAACAGACACCCACACTAACATTAACATACACACTAACATTAACATACACACTAACACTAACATACACACACTAACACTAACATACACTAACACACACACTAACAGACACACTAAGACACACACTAACAGACACACACTAACACTAACAGACACACACTAACAGACACACACTAACAGACACACACTAACAGACACACACTAACAGACACACACTAACAGACATCCACACACACACTAACATACACACTAACATACACACACACACTAACACACACACACACACACTAACAGACATCCACACACACACTAGCAGACATACACACACTCACTAGTGTTTTTTTTTTTTTGGTTTTTTTATTTAACCCCCCCAGCCTCCTTACTTTTGCTGGGGGGGTTCTTCCTCTCCCTGGGGTCCTGGGGTCCAGTGGCTGCAGGGCGGGCGGGCGGCCGGCCGGCGAGGGAGCTCTTCCCCTGAGCGCTCTGCTCAGCTCCCTCGCGCGCCGCCATCAGAGTGAGGCTGGGAGCCGGAATATGACGTCATCAACCCGGCTCCCAGCCTCACTCTGCTGGCGGCGCGCGAGGGAGCTGAGCAGAGCGCTCAGGGGAAGAGCTCCCTCGCCGGCCGGCCGCCCAGCGCCCAGGCGTTTTTTGCCGCCCCCTGAAAAATGCCACCCAAGGCAAATGCCTTGTTTGCCTCGCGGCTAATACGCCCCTGGTGGCAACATAAAACAAACATTTAAGTGAATCCAAGAGACTGGGAAATCCAGGGACAGAATATAAGAATGAACTCAGAAACCCAGCAATAAAGAAAACCAGACAGACCAGAAAACCCCCAAAAAACCAAGCAAGGACAGCAAAAAGAGTACTGGATACCAGAAGCTATTGCCAGAATAATCCGCAGCGAGAAACAGGATGTGACATAACTCCCCTCCTAAGGAGCAAACTCTGGACGCTCCCAACAGCTCCCAGGCAGATACCGGGAATGGCGAGCGGATCCTGCAACGAAGTCCTCTTGACTTCCACGGAGGCAAGGATCCCCCACCGGAAATGCCTCCTGCATAGGAACCTAAGGAGTGAACTCTGGACGCTGAGTGAGCACTTCCCTAAAACATCCCCTACTTACATACACTCCACTTCCTGTGAGAGAACTCATGGGTGGGCCATGTAGCTGGATTTATGGGTGGGCATTTTAGGCATACTCACGGTCAAGCCCCGGGGGCCCAGACCTTGAGCTGTGTAAGGGGCCCTAAAAAAATGGAGCTGCTTCCTGTTTGTTAATTGTTGTGAGCACTGTTAAAAACAGTCTCCTGAAAGCCTCTTCTACACCAGACCTGTGGAGCCAGACAGAGCCCATCATCAGCCTCTTGTCCTCATCTGGTGGTAAGTAGGCAATCCAATATATTATTAGTGGCACTAATCTCTAATTTACCTCACCAGAAGGTAAATTATAGTCACCAGAAGCACTACATCATAATGTAGTGGTTCTGGTGTCTATAGCCTGTGCCTGTAGGCTTTTTAATGTAAACACACTGTCTTGTCAGATAAAAGACACTTTGTGAAGACTGGCGTTGGCCCATATGGCAGAGCATATGGGCGGGGCATTGTGATGTCACATGGTGGGCAGGACATATGGGGGGAGGCAAATTTTTTCACAAGTTGTGAAATTGATTATAGCTGGTATAGCTTTCCGCCCAAACATTAGTCGAGACTGAATGCGGGAAGTAGATCTGTTTTTTTCA